AAGGAATAACAAGTGTAATATCCACTAAAGCAAAGCTTACGTATATAACACCAACACGGCCAACCTAACGTAACCCTCCTTACACTGGCTTGGGACAGTCAATTATATATTCTTAAAGAGTTTATAGCAGGTGGAGTTAATTATAAATATCTTCAATTACAATAATTTCTTTATTAGCTAAATAAAAATAAAATTATGGATAGAATTAATTAGTTATATTCGTTTCTTTGTTTGCTAATTAGCATACAATAAAAATTAAAAGGTAAAGGAAATTAATGCTTTAAAAAAATACGACTACAAAATTTTCTCTTTTAGTAATAATTTTTTTAATGGAAAACATGTTTTTAATAAAGGTTTTATTTATTTATTTTTTTTTTTTTATGTATGTAGGAGTTTTCAAATGTGAAGTACATATATACAGAGGCTTATCATAGGAAGTCACTTGGGTGATTGAATATAAAATAGGAGTTTTATCAATACAAGTCCCGAAAGATGGTTAAACTATCAATGCAGGGTCTGAAAGATTTTTTTTTCAATTTGAGACTTAAATGTTATAAAACTATCAAATTAAAGACCCGAAAGATAGGTAACCCTATCAATGCGGGGCATGAAAGATTTTTTTTTTTCTCAATCGGGGCTTAAATGTTATAAAACTATCAAATTAAGTCTACAATTAACAAAACTCATAACACCATTAAATTTAGAGTTAAAGATTAAATTTAGAGTTAAAAAAATATAATATTCAATTATTACATTTCATTTTCATATTCATTCACTTTTTTAAACTATCAATGCATATGAATGAAATTTCAATAAGCATAATAGTCAATTTAAATATAAAAATTATATTCATTATTTACTTAATATAATAACTTGCTTTATTCTTTATAACAACAAACACAAATATTTATGAGGACAATAATATTATAAACACTCAAGAGTACGACTGGTTATAAATTATGTAAAAATGTTTGAATGAAAAGGTGAGTTAAAGAGTAGAAAAAATTGATGGAAGAATGCAAAATTTTTAAAAACGTGAATGAATATGAAAATAAAATGTAATAATTAAATATTATATTTTTTTTAGAACTCTAAATTTAAACACCAATCTTTTTTTTTATAAACTCTAAATTTAATATTGTTAAAGGTTTTGTTAATTCTAGACTTAATTTGATAGTTTTATAACATTTAAGTCCCGAATTGAGAAAAAAAATCTTTCAGGCCTCGCATTGATAGTTTACCCATCTTTCGGGTCTTTAATTTGATAGTTTTATAACATTTAAGTCCCTAATTGAGAAAAAAAAATTAGGCCCCGCATTGATAGTTTACCTATCTATTGGGCCTTGTTTTGATAAAACTCCTATAAAATATTTTGGTATTTATTGGATAAATTACATTATTTTACTTAAATTTAATTGAATGAAGAATTGAATGGTATTTTGTATTTATATTAAAATAATATTTAAATATAATTATTAAGTTGATTGATGTAAAAGTAAAAGAGTGGTGACTGAAAGTGATAAGTAGTTAAAAATATGTGAGTGTATAAATAGTGAATTAAAGTTGATGTAATCATGTAAGTGAATGATTAATATTATTTAATTATATTGATATAGAAAGTTAGATGGGATAAAGTTGAGTTCATTTCAAGTTAATACTTGTAAAAATATATCTAGTTAAAATAAGGTAATTTTTTTTGGCACATGAGGCGTTAGTGAAGACCATACCACAAGTGACTCAAAGGAAATGGAACGTTGAGATTCTCCACGTGCATCGAGAAGTCAATTTTGCAGTTGATCACATGGCCAACTTGGCCGCGTCTTCTTCGATCGGGCTTGAGATAATGCCTGCACCTCCGCCTGAGTTGGGATTTTGGCTCGAGCATGATATTATAGGGGTGTGCTAATTGCTATTCACGTTAAGTCCCAGTTTAAACCGTCAGACATTTGCCTCCTTCCTTATACCAAAAAAAAAATCAGGTAATTTCTTTTGCCAATCACGGCTTTCATACCCGAAGTCCCATATATCTCTACTATACATATAAGGCAACAACTAAGAGTTGTTCTAGGGCTGACACGTGGCATTTTTGGACCAAAATACCCCTACAGTTGCCCTATTTTTACACTATTGCCCCTCAGTTTACCCTTTTGTTATCTCTCCACTGCACCCGTACGTCTTTTGTTATCGGCCGTTCAAGCATCCGGAATTTCTGGTGCGTCGTGGATTTCCTGTACCTTGGTGATTGATTTGATTCCCGTGAATTGGGGCGCACTACGCCGAAAGTGTGGATTTGGTTGTTCGGCACGAACAAAATCAAAAAATCGGGCAAACCCTAACATCTCTTTTTCTCTGTTCTCTTCCAAGAAAATCACCTCGCTCCATTATCAGCTCCAACCAAATCCTAGATCCGCCCTACCACCACCATCTCAGCCCTCCACCGCCGCTGACCCCACAGAGAGACGACGTCTCTCCCGAGCTAGATCTCACCACCCCTACCTCCGTCATCTCGAAATATACAACCTCTTCCCTGCTCGCCGCCGAGAGGGAAATTCAAGGACCAGGAGGTGGGCCCTCCAGGAAAGCCCGGTATCTAATTTCGAGGACAAGTTTGATTTCCAGTCTGGGTCCGACTTTACTCTCAGGGAAGGAAAAAGGTGTGTATAATAAGAAGTGGAGGCTTTCAGTTGATGAAATAAGAGAGTATATGAGGATTATTGAGCAGTCTACTGATGAAGTCGAGGTGAGATAACATTGAAATTGTGAGGCATTTTCTTTAAGGGTATATCATTAATTGTACAAAAAGGTGGTTAATAATGAAAAGGATTGTTTGAAGATAGATTTTTCACATGAAAAACCTCTTCACAAAGGTACACACAAACACACACACTCACACACGCACTTGCATGTGTAACTCAGTATTCTGTACTGTAAATAATCTTGTTGTAATGAGTTGACTCGGATCTACTGTTGTGAGCTTACACATAATGACTTTTAGTTGGTGTATAAGACGAATCGGGTAATTGGAAGACCAAAATATGTGTTTCAAGGTTGATTTAGTTCATTGTTAAGTGGTCCAACAAAAAATAAAAAAAGATGAGAAAAAAATTTAAGCTTTCTGATAACAGAGTTTGGTGCTCAGGATCTGGAGCAATTGGCAGCCGAGCTGAGAGCCGAAATCGTGCACACCGTGGCAAAAACTGGAGGACACTTGAGCTCAAGCTTAGGAGTGGTTGAGCTTACAGTGGCCCTGCTACATGTTTTCAATACCCCTGATGACAAAATCATCTGGGATGTAGGCCATCAGGTACACATTTCTTTGTTCTTTCACCAAAAAGATAAATAAAATCTTGTCATGTTTTATATATGGATGGGCATTTAATAATTGAAAGCAACAATACATTTTTCAGACCTACGGGCACAAAATCCTGACTGGTCGGAGGTCGAAAAAGCACACCATCAGGAAAACTTCAGGGCTAGCTGGCTTTCCCAAAGACGAGAGCATTTATGATGCTTTCGGGGCCGGGCATAGCTCCACAAGCATCTCAGCTGGAATTGGTACATTTTTTCACCACTGCACTGCACACATTTTCCATTTCACAGACCAAATTATACTTGACTCATTTTGAATTGACAGGTATGGCTGTGGCGAGAGATCTGCTTGGGAACAAGAATAACATGGTGTCCGTGATTGGAGACAGAGCGATGACAGCTGGACAAGCTTACGAGGCCATGAACAACGCTCGATTTCTCGACTCTAACCTAATCGTTGTCCTAAACGACAACAAACAGGTGTCCTTGCCCACACAGCAACCCTTGACGGGCCCGCCACACCTGTCGATGCCCTCAGCAGCGCCCTCGGCAAGCTCCAAGCCAGTCCTATGTTCAGACAGCTCCGTGAGGCTGCTAAAGTAATTAGATTCACTCCCTTATCTGAAAACTGTAAAATGAAAATAGAAATGTATTCAAAATCACACATTTCTTGTACCCAAAAAAAAAAAATCACACGCCTCTAAGTTTTCAATTTATTTGTTTTGGGACAGAGCATAACGAAGTAGATCGGGCCACAAGCCCATGAAGTGGCGGCCAAGGTCGACGAGTATGCGAGGGGGATGATCAGTGCCACTGGGTCTACGCTGTTTGAGGAGCTTCGGCTTTACTACATAGGCCCAGTGGACGGTCATAACATCGAGAACTTGGTCAACATTTTCGAAAAGGTCAAGACCATGCCGGCACCCTGCCCGGTTCTGATTCATATTGTCACGGAAAAAGGGAAAGGATATCCGCCGGCCGAAATAGCTGCCGATAGGATGCACGGTAAATATTATTTTGTTCTAATTTAATTCTGTGTCATTTTTTAAATTGCCTAGGTGAATTTAGATTTTCCATTTTCTTTTTTCAGGGTTTGTTAAATTTGATCTGAGTACTTGAAAGCAAATGAAGGCCACATTGGCCACGCTTTCGTACACTCAGTATTTCGCGGAGTCACTCATCAAAGAAGCGGAAGCAGACAGCAAGATCGTGGCCATACATGCGGCCATGAGTGGGGGGACGGGTCTCAACTATTTCCAAAAGCGTTTTCTAGAATGATGTTTCGATGTGGGCATAGCCGAGCAGTACGCGGTCACATTTGCTGTTGGCTTGGCCTGCGAGGGTCTCAAGCCCTTCTGTGCCATCTATTCTTCTTTCCTCCAAAGAGGATATGATCAAGTGAGCAAATATGATTTTAAACTCAGCTCCTTTTTATATAAAAATAAAAAATGGTGGTGAAATGTGTATGGTTTGTGGTATAGATGGTGCATGATGTGGATCTTCAGAGTTTGCCCGTCCGGTTCGCGATGGATCGATCCGGGTTAGTGGGTGCAGATGGGCCGACCCATTGTGGAGCGTCTGATGTGACCTACATGGCATGCTTGCCAAACATGGTGGTGATGGCTCCATCGGACGAGGCTGAGCTCACGCACATGGTGGCCACTGCAGCCGCCATAGATGACCACCAGAGTTGCTTCCGGTTCCCGAGGGGAAATGGTGTTGGGGCCGTCCTTCCGCCTAATAACAAAGTAGTTCCACTTGAAGTAAGGCACTCTAACTGAAAATTTTAATTATTTTTATTTCTTTAACTGAATTTCTGTTTTTATTCTAAGTATTATTACATTTTTAACCAAAAAAAAAAAAAAGACAGGTTGGAAATGGAAGAGTGCTGTTAGAAGGCAACAAAGTGGCAATTTTCGGGTGCGGAGCCATAGTCTAACAGTGTTTGGGGGCTGCAGAAATGCTAACGTCCCATAACATATCGGTCACGTTAGTCGACGCAAGGTTCTGCAAGCCATTGGACAGTGATCTGATCAGACGGCTGGCGAAAGAGCACAAGATATTGATCACTGTAGAGGAAGGCTCGATCGGAGGGTTTGGGTCCACATCTCGCATTTCCTGTGCCTGATGGGCCTTCTGAACGGACCCCTCAAGGTGATGCATGACGAACATTTCTATTATTATATAAATTCTACTTCTCCAAGAAGCGTCGAGTTTTTGATGTGTTTGTGGTATTTGTTTTGAGAATGCAGTTGGGGTCGATGGTGCTTCCAGATAGGTACATAGAGCACGGGTGTAATACCCCGTTTTATTGTAGATTATTTGGGAATAATTATTGATTATTGCTATTATTAATTGTCTTTATTATTATTATTATTATTATTATTATTATTATTATTATTATTTTGTTTGTCAAATTTCTAATTGCTTATATATATATATATAAATATTATGTGTTTGTAGATATATATCGTCCGGATTAATTTACTATTCGCCGTTAATTGAATCGATTAATATTTCTCGATTTTTACTCTCGGCCGATTACAAGTTATTTCTAGCCCGTTTGTGCTTTTAAATTCCAGTCCATTTATTATGCAATTATTTTGGCCCAACTGAAAGTATTTTTTTAGCCAATGACATTTTAATTTCCAGCCCAATTGAGCTAGGCCCAATTGGAATTAAGTGAAGCCCTTTTCCTTTTACTTCCGCAAGAGATTTTGGGCAGAAAATCCCCTTCTATCTCTTCTTCCTCAAGCGCACGACCAGGTCCATTTCTCCTCGCGCTGCGACCAAACCCAACGGCTTGAAAATCTGTTGCGATTTTGGCGGAGGATTTCGCACGTTCCTCGTCGATCTCGTGTATATCTACCGAATCAGAACAATCCCCTCTCCTCACTCTGTCCTCTCTCGTTCAAATTTTAAATTTCTACCGTCTGCAACCTTCTTCCCCGGCGAGTCATCCAGCAGCCAACCACCATTAATTCCGGCGAGCACAAGCTAGATACCCGACGTCCCCTCGGAGCAACCCAATTCCGGCGACTATCAACCTCAACCGCGAGAACCTCCGCTGCTGTCCAATAATCGCCGGAGATCCACCATCGGCTCGAGCGTGTTCATTCACCAGAGAATTTCATAGAAAACTTGTTCGTTTCCATTCGCCGTCAGAACCTGTCGGTTAGCGGGAAGGTCGTGTCCAGTCCTGTGTTCGATAGCTCCGAGTTCAGGCTCGTTCGTCCATTTTTCTGATTTCTCGTAGGTTCCCGAAGACGGGTAATTTCCTTCGATCTTTTTTTTTTTCAGATCCTGCGTATTCGAGATATTTGTTAATTATATCGTGTTCGTTGAATCGATTCCTCGTTAAATCATTCGCTTTAATTATTGGATTGCATATCATTTTGTTTGTGGAATATTCGGGGATGATCGGAACTCTCGATTTTGTAAAATTGAGTATTCATTAGATTGCGTTGGTTGTTTCGGATTGTTTCGGAGTCCCGTTATGTTGTTTCGGAGTTCCGTTCTATTGTTTCGGGTTCTCGTTGTATATTATTTAATGTCGTTTAGTTTCGACCCAAAAACCCTTTTTAAAATGTTTTGAAACTCTGATATTTAGTTGTTTAATTAAATCCCCGGACGTGATACTTGCTCGAGCATTGTCGTCGAATTTGGGTCGTTGATATTGCAGCTTCTGTTCAATTGTTTCGAACGTCTGTTCAGTTCTCCAAACAATTTTTTTTTTCTGGTTAAGTCGCAGTTCCTTTTAACATTCATCTAAACAACTGTGCAAATTAGCAAACAAGGAGTGCCTGTAGTCTAGTGGTATGACTCACGCTCTGGGCGTGAGAGGTCCCGGGTTCAATCCTTGCTGCCCGCAACACTTTGTTATATATTTTTGCACCATACTAGCATCAGCAGCGCGGGCTTCACAGCCCGCTAGCGGCCCGCGCGAGACCCAAATCCTCTTGTACTTCTGGCCCGCGTGTGAGCCCGAAGGGCCGCGCTCCTTTTCCCCTTGGCAGGCTATTAGTATGGGCCTTTCAACCCCTGCAGTAGGCCCAAATAGTGGATGTATTGGCAGCTTTAGCCTAATTGACCTTTTTACCCTATTTTGTATTCCGGAGTCCGTTTTTCGTACCGTATTTAATTTTAAAAATATCTTTAAAAATGATAAAATTTTGGAAAAATTATTTTAAGTCTCGAAACTTCAAGTTTGTCCTCCGAGTCATATTTGTCAAAAATAAAGGAGTTCCAAGTCCACGAAAAATCCGATTATAACCCTTAAGTCTTAATTTTTATTAAGTGTGGGTTTTATAATAAATTGGAGAAGTGAGATAGATTATTGA